AAGCCAGATGGCAGCAGCCTTTGTTCTAACAGGGCCTGATGATAGTTTGTATATTTAAAATGTTGCAATTACACACTTACTGATTTCCCTTCAGATAGCAGTAAAGATCTGCTGCTGACAATTTCAAGTATAATCACGTATCTTCTCTCGAGAACCATTTTGATCTTTCCCTTCACCCACCGGAGTATCAAATAAAACTAATGTTGTCACTACATGGTATGGTTCTGTGTAGTGAAGATAATGGAAGCCGGCTTATATGAATCACCAACCCATTAATTAAAATAGGCAACTAGAATTAAATGTCTCATATAAGGACTATAAAGAAAAACCATTTTAACAAATGTACACTCATATATTTAAAAACATATTCAGTGTCTCCATTAATAGCAACAAGTCATAAAAATGCAATAGTTTTTTGGAAACTATGGGACAGAGATTAATTTGGTAAAGGCATCTTCAGCTCTTCATCATCTTTCATAACATTCTTTCAAATAATATCTTTATTTTTCAAGTACATCTTTTTCTTGTTCATTTTCTTGAAATGAAATTTTTCAAATATTAAAAATAGAACATACGGTGAAAAAAATGTCTCCATTCTACTCTAACCTCCCCAGTCTTCTCCCAAGAGGTAACCACCATAACTGAATGTGTATCTTTCCTCAAAAGGTTCTCTCTCTCTCTCTCCCACCCTCCTCTCTCTTTCTATATATATTTTATATGATGCTATAGACACTATTGATAACAACAGAACCATATTCCTAAATGCACTATTATTAAAGACAGAATAGAATTTCAAGGTGTTGGTGCTGTTCTTAGCCATTTACAGATGCAAACCACTGTTACAATGACTATCTTCTTACATACTGTTCTGTGAATTTTATTTTAGTACACCTATAGATTACTTTTTGAAAATATAATTGTTCAAAAAATATATGCATTTTAAATGTTGGTAGATATTTCCAATTGGCCCCCCAAAGAGAATGTTTTAACCCATAATTCTGGCAGAAGTATAGCAAAGTGTATTTACAAGGAATTGGATGAAGCAAGGAAGATAAATGACTGTTTCATGCACATCTTTCTCTTGTGCCTCTGAGAACATATTATAAGTCTGTAAATAATTAAGTTTATGATGGCCAGTTTGGACTTAATAAACATCCCTGCATTATATATTTGATTGTTATAATTCCAAATATGTCAGACTGATCAAAAACATATGCTATATGGTTATTTAATTTAGCAATTGCTTGGAGAAACCATCATAAATGATGATTTGTGTTTTACCATCTGGAAGAAACTTTTCTCCATTTGTGAGTATGTGGTATATACAATTTAAATTTCAAAGACATTAAAAATATAATTTAATTCTGAAAAAACTGTCATTTAATAAATATGGTTGTATAGATTTCTTAGCTATTACTATCACAAACGCAACCTAATAGAGCTAATTTTAGAGGAATAAGGAATCTAGCACTGAAATTCTATAATCCCATCTCACCATTAAGCTAACAAAAAGAAATACAAGGTCTACTGGATTTAGATTTCAGTGATGCTGATTAGTTCTTATGAAATTTCAAAATTATTATCAAAGAATTTCCTTGTTTATAATCTGTTAGGTTGCTCCATGAGAAACTATAATTCTTGACTAAGCATTTTAATATTCTAAAGAAACCACAATATTACACAAATGTAATATGATGAGATATTTTAAGAAATGCAGGTAACATAAGAGTTCCTCCAAAGAGCCCATAAAAACTAAAACCATAACTCCAGGTAATAATAAATATGAATTCACATATTTCAATTTCAAGTGAAAAGTAAGCTAATTGTGGTTTAATTTAAATTTCAATATGCAGGTATCAAATTATGTCCGTAATTTACACTAATTAAACCCAAATATATCACCATATATGAAATGCATTTGTGATGACACTACATCATGAGCTAATTATAACATGCATAAATATATGCACAAACATTTGGACAAAGATTCTCAGCTTTCCACTTCCAACTCAATCAAATAATGTTTAATTTAGAAATGACTTTAATTTTGGAGAGATCTATTTGATCAATAATTTCATTTTCTAGTTTTCAAATGTGTTTATGTACTCGTGTGCATTTATTTGAGTATTGTATGAAAGCAGGTAGACATATCATGTGGCTGTATATTGTTCAGTATGGACTGAAACATAGATAATTAATGTTTGTTCTTGTGGTTACAACTTTGACTCAGATTTGATCACTGTTACATGATTCATGTATTTCATTTCTAGGCAAGAGTCAACATTCAAAGAAAAAAAAGTCTACAGACTAGTAAATGAGGCTTTTCCTTATTTCTATGTTTTCCCTCCCAAGTTCTTCTGCGATCTCTTCATGTCACCGTATTTTCTCAAAATTCACTTTCCTGCAGAGGAGCTTGTAGAGACACCTAGTGGAAAATTGTAATGGTAGCTTCTCAGGCCACCTTTAAAACTGACTTAATGGTAGAAAGTTGACATCATTTATTTATTTGAACCACAAGAAGTAAACGGAAATATTTTCAGTGTCAGTATTTCTAACAAAACTATAACCTACATTAATTTCAAACATGTTTAATACTTCTTATTGCAACAAAATGTATTTAAATTATGATAATAAATATTTTTTTAAAAATACAAAACCATAAATTGAACTAAAATTTGATATTTTATTGCAATTGTGAAGATTTTTGTAAGAAATAAAATAATGAACTAAAGGTAAGTCCAATAATTAAGGCATTTTTACCTTTTCAGAAATTCTATAGTTGATCAACATTGAAAATTATGTCTGTGACAGAACACTATTTATATGCCAAAAGTTTCTAACTGTAATTAATATGTAATTTTAAAATTATAACACTTTAACACTTTCATTTTGAAAACATAAAAGTGACTTAATTCTTTAAAAAAAATTCTAAAATATTTCAATCATGTTAGAAGATAATGTATAAAATATAGTAACAAGATTTTTGTGAGTGGAATTTAAGTTGTCTGTTCATACAATGTACCTATAGCAGTTCATACAATGTACCTATAGCAAGTGGCTATCATTCCTAGGATAAATGTTTCTAAATTCAACAGGAAGTTCAATTATAAGATTTTATTTTCATTATCTCATATTGCAGATTGCTTCTTTTCTCTCTCATACATGTCCCAAATTTTAGAAAAATAAACAAAATTGTTTCCAACAAAGTATGTATGGCTTAACTAAAAAAATATTTGCAAAACAGAGTCAGATGAAATTTCAAGAAATATTACAAAGCTTCAGGAGACTGCAATGTTCATCAGCTCTAAGAAAACTCCTCCTAATTCTAAATATATACAGAGAATGTGGGAAGATATGTTTGTGGCTCTCTATATCAAAATCTAGATTCGTCTTATATGTAATCAGGATATTAAAACCACAATATTATCCCAAATGTAACCAAGAAAGACAATATCAGCTCTGTTTAAGATGATTCCAAAGATACTACATAATTCATTCCAAAGTAAAATGGATAAAAAATATTTAAGAGGGATAAAACTACCCAGTTAGGAAAAGGAATAGGCACATGTGCACTCAGCTTGCACTGGGCTACTTATGATCAACTTTTTTTTCCCTGTGCCTGGGATGGACTGCAGGTTTAACATTGCAAACATTGTAAATACGCTCCTTATGGATATAAAGACCCCCTTTTGGGGAGGGCAGTGTCTAGTTTCATGGAAAGAGCCAGGGATACTTACTGTAGAGATGACTCTTGTGGAGTTTAGCAGGTGACTCTTCAAGAAACTCGCTTTCTATCGATACTGCATTTATTTAGGGGTGTCCAGCTCTTTGGTACACACCAAATGTATTCACAAATATTCTCTCTGAAAGTCGTTCCTATTCCCTTGTATCTCCCAGGCATACCTATAAAACGTAATTCTTAAAAAATAAAAATTAAAAATAGGGCCCTTGTTTGCAGCTAGGATGAACCACTCCCTCTTGCAGGGTCCTTTACAGTGGGTGCAGGAGGCGGCAGCAGGGGCTGTGTTATTCTAAACGGCCGGGAGAGGCCGGCGAGAGCAGGGCTGGAATCAGCGGGCGCCTGGCCGCCGCCGAGCCGGGCGCTGTGGGGGTACTCCCTCTCCTCCCTTTTTCAATCCGAGGATTGCCCAGTCCCGCGTCCGTGTTACGCACGTGGTCCAAGACTCCTCCGTCTCCCGCAACTGTGACAGGCAAGCGGGGCTCCGGGGCGCCGCGGGAGCCCTGCGGGGAGGGGACGCCTCCGCCCTCGGCTGCCACCTATCGGCCGCCTCGCGCCGCCTCGCCCAGGGCCCACCATGACTGCTGCAGCTTGGCTCGNCGACAATAAACAAGTGCACCGGACGGGGCCCTGCGCCCGCACCGCACCGCAGCGGCGCCTCTGAGACCCGGCGTTGCTTACCCCGTTGCCGCCTCCTCAGCGCCCGGGAGAGAAGACACGACTTTCTCTGAGTTTTTTAGAGTCGCCGGGTTGCCGGGACACGCCACCGGCGGAGGAACAACGGCCGATCCAGTCCCCCCGGACAACCCAAAGGATGTCGGAGATAGAGAGTTCCAAATAATGACGATCGTGGGCCGCATCTGGGGAAGGGATAGGAAAGGAATATTTAAAAAAAGCCGCACGCCGCTGGAGCGCTGACAGCGCCGAGAAGATGTGGGAGCCGTGCAAACACTAAG